GGTGAGCGGAGGGACAAGCGAGCTGCGCGGTCTCGGAGAAAGCAGCGAAACTGGGGAGGGGGATATTGGGCCTGCCCCAACCCTTGGGGCTGGCGGGATGAGCGGCAGGAGGCCTGGAGGGGAGTGCAGGCAGGACAGGTGGGTTGAGCCCGGGTGTGGAGAGGAGCCCTGGAATTCGAGGCGAGGCAGGAGGGGTGCTGGCAGCGGGCGGGGAGGCCAAGGGAAGGGTAGGGATAGGGCTCTGCCTTTCTCTGAACCCTCCCCGGCCTAAAAATAGTCAAAATTGTGGGTTACGAGGTATTGCGGTCTAGGCACCGTGCCGGGCTGCGTGTCAGGGAGCCTTATGGAAATCTCTTGTTCTCGTGCAGCATCTTTCACCGGAGGATCACGGCATGCTTAGCTGAGTCGGAAAAGAGTTTTCCCTTCCTCACAGGTAGGAAATGGAGACAAAATAATTTGCCGGGAGAAACCCTTTCTCCCTGGGGCTCCCATCACCGCGCGTCACTCTTCAGAAGTCGTTATTCTGCGTGTGTGCTTTGCAATCTGATATTGGAGAAGGGTCTTTCCATGCCAGAGTGTGTCTGATGCTCTTTACCAAGTGCAGGAGGGAGGAGAATCGGGAGAAGCGCAGTCACCGTTGCAATTAGGGTCTCTTAGAAAAGCCATCGGAGCCCTCCGCAGCTCTCTGGGATGTGGAAATTGGATCAGCCCTCTCCCTGCGCACTCAGTAACATGCTGGGTCCAGCTGAAGGGGAGCGGCTTGCAGGAAGCACAGAAAACATCCAAGAATTGTTTTTTCTGGTGTCTGTTATCTGCGTTCTCAGTTCTGTGTGGTTTTGTACACCCATCAGTGTTCACAGGGCACTTCTCTCCCTGGTAATGAGGCGAGTTAATGGTCAGCTGAGCTGCAGAGCCCCAGAGTAGATTTTTCCAGCATCTTGTGCAACTTTGGGCCAAGCGTTCGGAGGCAGCCAGGTACCGTTGCGCAGGAGCTGGCATCCCTTGGGGCTGCCATAACTCCCCTGTCTGGCGCTGAACCCCTCAAAAACAGGGTTTTGTCCCAGTTTTGGCACATGAGGAGGGTGAGAATAGAAGTCGCCGTCTCTGGATTCCTGTGTGGTGCTCCCATGGCCGTACACGCGAGGTAGCAGTGCCGCGCCAGCCACAACTTTGCCAGAGCTGGTGCTGGCGCTGCCTGGGTGAGTTGTTAGTGGCGACAGAGAATCGACAGGTGGGAGCGCAGGCAATGTGTGCCCAATGCAGGTATGGGGTTTGGGCTGTGAAATTATTAGTTTGTGTAACCTTTCCTTGTGCCTATGTGTTCACTCAACTGAAGGTATCCGCAGCTGGAGATAAGCGCCTTGCGCTTCCATGTGTTCCTATCCCTGGTGGCGCTTTGTTTGTCGAAGGGAAATGAAAACAAAATGAGAAAAGTTTCAGGATTAGTTTTCAGTTGTGTTTTCCCTGTAATTTACTGGGTTTTGCAACAATGAACTGGGTGGGCTGCAGGGCCGCGGAGGGACTGTGGCAACGCCCTATGCAGTAGGCTCGTAAATAACTGCAGATTGAATTTATTGAGAATACCCAGCTGTAGAGTGTGGCAGTGGGGAAGATGCAACCGACTTTAGGAGAGCTGTGGAAAAAAAAAAAGGTTTTAAATAAAGCTCCGAAGTTTGAACAGTGGCCAAAGAATTAGCTGCTGGCTGCCAGTACAAACATTAACTAATCCTGGCAGCCTTTTAAGGCAAGTATCTTTAGTTCTGGTTAAGAAATAAACCTGTTGGATGCATGGATTGTCCCTGGTGCAGGTTGAGGGAGGTTTTCTGGGAACTGCGGATAAATGCCATGTAGGAACAGGACTGTGAAACGTGGTACCCGGCGAGGGTGTAACATGAGGCTATGCCAATTCATGGCCGGTGTCGCATGGAGTCATCTTCCAGCCACTATAACTACCTTTAGAAAGATCCCTCTGAAACCTTCTGGCTCTGCTGGGCAGTTACCACCCTGAGATTCCCAAGTAAAGGTAGTTAACTGGAATGTATTTGGGCATTGAAATGGTGGCAGAAGTTTCCAGGGAAGATGCTGGTGGGATAATGGTGGCTCAGGTTGCGTTTCACCTCCGCAGAGTGGAAACTTTTCTGCTCCCCCTCCCATGTTGTTCCGAGTTCCCAGATGTTTTCCAGATACTGGCTATCTTTATTTACATTTGTGGGGGTGACATTTATTTTACCAGCGCTTATCGAATCTGCCAGAAGGAAGCCGTCTTTATAAAAATAAAAACAAGTTACAGGCTTTTGCTCTGAACCACTCAATGCGCTTTGTTGCTGCATTGGTGACTCGTTATTGATGCTTGGGCTCTGCGAGCTGTGGGTTTGCGCGTCCGTTTCCATTTAAAAGGTGGAGATTTCATTGCTGACGTCTTGCTAAGTGCTGTCCACCTCGCTGGGGGTGAGCAGAGCAAATCACTGCAGCCTGAAACCTGGATGCTGCACACTTGGGAGCTGTTGGAGCGGCGAGGACGGGAAGGCAGTGCTGGTGGAGATTGGATCTGGAAGGGACGAGGTTTCGGATGGGGCAGCCCCAGAGCATGTTTGTGGAACGTCCCTGTGACACGTTCTTCACCTTGCAGGCTCAGATCCGCCGTGCTTGACTTTTCTGATGAATGATTTAGGAATTTGTGGGTGTTTGGCAGAGGGGGTGGGAGGGGAGGAAGCGTAATTTTACATCACCGCTGGTGGTTACAACTTAGGTAGAGCCTTCTTGGCCAAATTTGCGCTGCCGGAGAAGAAATGGTTCCCTCTGAATGTCAACGGGATGTTTTCCTGTCATTGTGGGGGACTGACACGCTGCCGTGCTCACGTCCTGGCATGGAAAAGAGCAGCCTTTATCGCACCACGCGCTTTCTTCCCAACTCTGGAGGGATTTCCCGAACGCGCTGCCAGGTTCGATTGTCCTTTTCCCAGCCAAAACGAGTGTCCGGAAAATGAGGAGCAGGGCTGGCATGCATGTGTGTCCCGGCTCTGCGGCGAGCTTTGCCTCCCCAGTGAGACCGCATTCTTTGGGGCGGCATCCTCAGTGCTCGCAGGGAAGGACACATCCCCTAAAGTCCTGCCTGGCTCGGGGAGAAATCCCAGGGATGTTTTCACAGCTTCCCTGCAGCCTAATTACAGCCGCATCGTTTTTATTTAATAAAATCTGATTTCTCCTGAGCTTAGGCAAGGAAGGGAGGAATATTTGCTGTTGCTTCACAAATCGAGCCACAGTAGATTTAGTGTTTTCAGAGGCAGCTTTGCGTGGCACAGACACAGCTTGCATTTCCAAACCGGCTTCCTGAAGGATTTGCTGTTTTCATAGATTTTGATTAATTGGCAATTGGATAATTTTTTATTAACTCTTCAGCCCTTCGCCTGCTCTTTCTGCAGCTTTAAACCAAACCCTTCTGTCATGGTTTAACCCCAGCCAGCAACTAAGCACCACGCAGCCACTCACTCACCACCCCCCCCCGCCCCCGCCCTGTGGGATGGGGGAGAAAATCAGGAAAAGAAGTAAAACTCGTGGGTTTAGATAAGAACGGTTTAATAGAACAGAAAAGAAGAAACTAATAATGATAATGATAACACTAATAAAATGACAACAGCAATAATAAAAGGATTGGAATGTACAAATGATGCGCAGTGCAATTGCTCACCACCCACCGACCAACACCCAGTTAGTCCCTGAGCAGCGATTCCCCCCCGTCCCCACTCCCCCCAGTTTCTGTACTAGATGTGGCATCCCATGATATGGAATACCCTGTTGGCCAGTTTGGTCAGGTGCCCTGGCTGTGTCCTGTGCCACTTTCTTGTGCCCCTCCAGGTTTCTCGCTGGCTGGGCATGAGAAGCTGAAAAATCCTTGACTTAGACTAAACGTTCTTAGCAACAACTGAAAACATCAGTGTTATCAACATTCTTTTCATACTGAGCTCAAAACATAGCACTGTACTAGCTACTAGGAAGACAATCAACTCTATCCCAGCTGAAACCAGGACACCTTCAAAGCTGCTTCACACCAAGTAAATGATTCGGGGCGCGAGGTTCTCACTCAGTTTTCAGGCGCTTGTGTTGCAGACAGAGGAT